TTGACTGATATTGTGCTATATTACGCACTTTCTAATCGAGATCAACCTTTTAAGCCGACTATTTTTAGCAGTAAAAAGTGGTTTTGGTGTTTGAAAGATACACCCTACTGCAGCCTAATTATGAAATCTAATTACGATTTCTAAAACCGTTCACAGCACAGAATTTTGTCTATTCACCACCACTATTACTGCCATTATCATGCAGTAGGAACGACAGCGGTTTTAACTCTCTGTTAAGATTGAAGTGATATAGACACTGCACTTCAGTCTCGTCTTTTTACAACCTAATCAACTCAACAAAATGAGTGGTGATTAAAAGGATAACCATTATTGTAACTAAAATACACTTGAGTTTGTACTTCTTATGTCATTGAAGTGGTCAACCCACTCAACCTCTTCATTCCTTATTGTCAAACGAATTCTCATATCAATATTGATTGCTTTCTTAAAAAGCATAATATAAACGTATGCATAATCGTAGGGATAACAAATACCTATTTATCAGTAGTAAAATGATGGGATGAAAGGTCGGCTCATCCACGTCAGTATGGTCGGTTTAGAAACAAACATATAACTGATTGATTTTTAGCATCTTAAGGACACCAGCCAAGTGGCATATATAACTGTATACGACTCATATTAACAGTCAGGATCTTTTGGTGAGCGAAAGTGTGGAATGAAAAAAAAATTGATACGAAATGACATTTCCATCTTTCAGTATTTAGTTTTGTATTTCTAACATTTTCAGAGACACACACCTATACATAGAGAGAGAAAGTAGTATAATTCTCCAAAAAATAGATTCTGTGAGAAATGAATGATTCATGTTGATCTTATAAAGACAAGAGAATTCCATGCTGCCCTTTCCTCTCAGTCTGCTGTGCATGCACACACAAATACACATAAGGACACACAGCACCCAGTGAACATTTTTAGACTTTATACATCTCCCACAGCCACCATCAAGTTTGAACATTATCAGCCAAGTTTATGGTTGGTATGATTGTTGCTGACGTTGTTTATAGCAGGAATCACCGTTTTTTCTTTAATAGTGTAAAAGAAAGTGTAACGGTGAGAGGAGAGAAATACATTCCATCGTTCACTTCATTCTCCACTTGTAAAGATAAGATAAAAATCTCTCTTTTCGTATTTGTTTATCTTAGTTATTGATTTGTATTTTATTGATCATTGGTTTTCGTGTTGTTGTTCTCCACCTTTCTACTGTATGTTTTTTTCCTCTGCCTGATTGTGGATAGATACCTTGTTATTCCTAAAGAGAACGGTAGGATATTAATCCTTTAAGGGGCTAAAAATGAGATCATAAAATAGGTAGTAGGTATTGAGCAGAGTTTCTAACGAATATCACACTGACTTTCAGCAGTAGGCGTTAGTTAAACAGTTAATTACCTATGGATATAATCTTTGAAATGGTGGAGAATATTTGTAGCTCAGGTGGATGATTTTGCTTGTATTATGTTCTCTGAGCTGGGTTGTTTAATTGACTGAACAACCCAGCTCAGAGGATATCGTCTTCATTCTAAAATTCTCACAACTTAGAATCATTCATACAGAAAAACACTTGTCAGTTTATCATGTATAAGCTTGGATATTCTAATTTCTGGTTTACTTTAACTTCGATAAAGCTATTAGCACTAAATAACGAAACGTCAGTTGAGACATTTATTTTACATTTATTGGGAAATACCAATGAATGAAACGAAAGGAAGGAATTTGTTGTCAACATCTGGTACAGCAGTCATCAAATATGGTACATCTTGCACTAAGACAGTCATTTGCATATGTGCTTCATTTCATCTTCTGCTTCTGCCTTGATTTGCTCTTAATACGCGCGCGTTGCCTCTTAAGTTTCTCTGGGCAAACTCTTTACCCATTGCTGGTAATTCCCTATGATTTCTGCCGCCTTCTCAACATATACTACCTGTATCCATTCTTATCAATAACACCCATTACACAAGTGCCAAAATAAGAATTAGTAGCGACTTTGACTCCATTACTGAGTAGCGTGTATTTCATGTTCTAAGGGGCATCTCCACTTTGTTGCAGTGTGAGATAGTCGTCGACGGTGAGTACAAAGAAGCATGACACACAGACCAAGGAGTATTTTCAGATGTTTATCTCCAGTCATAAAAAATGAAGAAAAATTATAGGATAGATGATTTATCATCTTCTTGGGATTTTGTAGAGTATGTGGCTGGGAGTCTTTCTAGAACAGTATCCACGTTGGTTAGACTACCCGGTTAATATGTTATGCTAATGAATGACATACAAAGTCGGAAACCACTAAGACTGGTTTGCATACTTCGTCAGCCACATAAGAGTGGTCTAAACACTGGAATGCCGTTTCAACCTGTGGTGTGCTTAGAAAGATTGGTTTGAATCAACCGGTATGCCACAAGTTGAGCAACTTGACGTGTTTAAGGAAATATCTGATTTCTAACCACTCTTACTTTTCAGTAGTATATTCTGTTGGTTGGAGATACTTTTCTGTCAGAAATCCAATTCCATGATACTGTCTAGCTGGTTTCCAGTCGAGGTTTAGTTGAGGCCGTAGTTTGGTAGCTAAAAAACTATTAAGTCAAACGAAATGCTCTTGTAGGCCATATAACTTGTAAATGATTTGCAAAATGATACTCCGTTCTATATGGTTACCTCGTTAGCAGTATTAGAGCACTGTGATTCAGTTGTAGTGAGATACTTTTTTGACCACAATAAACTTGGATTTAATGCTTATGGTCTTCTGTTCTTTCTTATTTTGCTTGCTTTACAAAGTAGCTTGATGACTTCTTAAAATTTCTAGATCTCATTACAGCTTCAAACGACTTTTCTCCAGTTTAGTTATTGCTTGGAACCGAGTTACTTGAAACAGAAAATAATGACCATTTCAACAAAACTTACCAGGTCAGAGATGAACATCTTAACTGTAAGGATTGACAGTCTTGAGCCTGAGGATTAGTGGATCAATGAAAAAGGGTGCTTCTGAGGAGTCCTGAAATGGAACAATGTACTTTTTCAGTTTTATGATGATTCTAACTGTTTGTTTAGCAGATAAGATTTATGACAATAACTAACTTCACATATATTCGTAGCCCATATACATCAATTTTATCTGAGACGCATATGAATTTAAAGGTTACTTAGTCAAAGTCCTTATGACGCGTAGAATAAGTGATTAGCAAATCAGTCTTTTGGCTCATAATTGAACATTTTCATTAATTCTCTTACAACTTCGATATCTGTTCAATTGCTCTGCCTGTTCTGCTGTGTCAAGGTGTAGCAAAATTAGCTGTTCTTTCACTTTTAATGTTAATTAGATTTAACGTGCGGTCAAATGTATCTTTTAAGCTTGTTTGAACTTCACACTTTTAGATAGTTATGCACTATTTCAAGTATATGACGATGAACTTCAACACTTGTCGAGTGATAAACGAATTACTGACTAAGGTGTTATGCAAGCAAACTGATTTCCAGCAATTTGTGGTATTTTGGTTCAGACAGACAGACAAAATTAACGTAGAACCTGTCACACAAGAGCATCACTTCAAGTTACCACACTTCACAGTAGTAAATAAAAAACAAATGGATAGGAGAGACTGATATCAAATTAGAAAACGTTGTGTGAGAGAATAAACGAATTTAAGATAACGGTTAGTGCAAATATTTAAGCTTTATAAGATATCAAGGAGTGAATACATCTGCACCAATGTGACCAATTTCCAGCCATGTCACCAAGAGACCTCAACCACTGATTCCTACCTTCTTGAGGACCCCAGTTAGGTAGTCTACATCTCCCCACACAACTCAGATCAATGTTCAGAGACTTTACTGACTGGTGCCACAACTTGGTCTGGCCAACCTTAGCCCTTTTCCAACCCAGTCCAACTTCTGATAGCTTTACGCGTCGTGGTAGGCGGTAGCTCGGTATGCGCAGCATATTTCCAAGCCACCTCATTTCAATCATCACTGATCACGTGTTAAGTGTATGCCATACGCGTTCAGTTTCATTCGATGAACAATCCATGTGAAGCAGTTCTTTTGAGCTGCAGAAGGAAGTATACTATAGGATTCAGTTTTGCTTATCGATGTTTTCCTAATCCTCGGGTTTAGCAATGATTACACAGTTTATGAGTGTAGCCATGTTAAAAATACGCAGATGATTAGAGTCGAAACCTCGTATAGTAGAACAGTCATGAAAAGAAAATATGGAGAGATGTTTTAGGAAGATAGTAAACATACGGAAGGAATATAAAATCCTGATGTGACGTGATGATGTGGACCTGTTGCCAGGTGAGAAAAGACTTTTCAGCCCAAAGATATAAACGAAATAATAACAGTAATTTCATAAATATACTTGTTGCTCATGAAGATGTAATTTATTCGATTTAGCACTGGAGTTCCAATCATTGCATCAACGGATTGAACCCGGTCCCAACTAATTTAGCCTGAATGATGGATTAGCATTGTAAATTCTTATAGAAGAAGTATGGCTCATGACCTAATACACGATTACTTGTGTCTCTGAATTGCATTCATTGAATTAAAGGAAGTAAACCTATTCTTCAGAACAATATTGACTTATACATTTATTTGTCTGTTCAGTAATGAAGGGCGTAGTACAAGTAATAACACTAAAACTGTACCTGTCGCACAAGAAGTGGCTATCGTGACTCAGTGGTGTAGTGGATAACCCTCTCGCGTTTCAAGCCATCGCTCCCGAGTCCGAATCCCGGTGGGGACATCACTCCCTGGAAGGCAGGTACATCCAGCTGACGAGTCCCAAGTAGAATGAAATGCGCATCCTGGATTCCACTGCTAGCCACTACCCATCATTACTGTACATAATTAAAATGTAGGCAATATCGAGGCATCCACACAGGAACCGCCCATATGCCAACAGAGACATATCAATTCGGTCCAATCAATGACGGTGTAATCCAAGCAATAACACTACTTTTTTGTTTGTTTGTTTATTTCTCGTTTAGACGACAATATCTTCAATATCTTGGTCACCACATAATTCTTTGATATTTGCTGCAGCTAACGAAGGTCTACTTGAAATATGGAATCTGGACCATTCAACGTGAGTTTAGTTTTAGAGTATAATAAATAAATAAATAAATATCAGAAATATACAATCAATTTGTATGTATCTGACTCTTTTCATTGTTCAATAACTGGAAATAATTTTCTGAAATACGTGTTTGCCTTTTAATCCTACACTTGATGGCATCTTAAACTTCACAGTCTCATGATTTATCCATCATTCAGACAGATAGGTATGGAGAGAAAAGAAGTCACGACGAACAAACTTCACATCAGCAAAAAATGAAAATTTTCTGCAGGACTAAGGGATATGTAATTTTCTTAATGTAACGGAAATGACTAAAGATGAGGAATAAAAAGCGCTGAATTATAGAATGCACAATATTCAAGTGAAAGTATAACCGGTATACATCTAATAGAAACAACTCACTAAACACTAGTTACACTTATTTTACTCTGGTTCAGCGTCCAGTTCCACTATTCATAACTTGGCACTTGCATGAGGACTTGAGCTCTTGATTCACCATCTAGATCTGTACTACAACGCCATGCATGCATGAATCTTTTCCAGTGCGATTAACTGTGGCCCATGTTTTCTGAAGTTCCCAACCACCAACACCAGTTATCTCAAGGATTACTTCAAGCAAGCTTATGGTTTCATACAGAACTTGGATTAACAATCAAGGAAATTACAGACTGCTACTAAGTCTTGAATCGCTGCACTATTTTGCAGGACATAATTTTGTTCTGCTAATTTCTTATTTACTTATGGCAACTCTATTCGGACGCAGTTTTGCTTACCTGACGAGATTATTATTTATAAATAATTAGGAAGCTTAGACAATATGGCTTCACTAAAATGCAGGCTGTTCTGAACGCCTAAGGTAGGAATCTAAGTATATTTGGCATATGTGTCATACTTTTAAAGTGTAAAATGATACTTAGAGATTGGCCGGCGCCAACTCCTAATTTAACGATAGGGAGTGGAGAGTTGAGTTTGTCACTTCACCTACGTATGGAATTGCATCAACCCTAATAGGTTGGATACTGATGAAATCTCAGCCCGGTTACACAACTACTCGTTAAGCATTTGTCAACTAGCGATATCTCTGGCACCGACGGGTGAGATATCCAGCTACCTGTTAAGGGATAAGCATACTGTTCTGCAGTCCATTCTACTCTATTAAACAGCTGAGAGACATGATTTTTGAAATTAGAAGTTTTACAGATATTACAGATAGTTTTCAAATACAAGTGTCTTCATATCATGGCTCACGTTAGGTGAGATTAGGCGAAGAGTACCGGCCATAGAAAGCAAATCAATCGGCGATGTTATGGACCTTTGGGAATTGAGGTGGTTTGAACACATCTCGCACAGGCTAAATCACCGCTCACCTTAATGCACAATATTGGTTGATGTTGGAGTAGGTTGAAAGAAGGCTCAGGATGGCCAGATGTAGAAGTGATATTTGCCCATGTAGTCCTTGACTGTTGGTTTGGGATATGAATGGAAATTCAGGCTGCCTGACTAGAGTCCTCGAAGTGACAGGAAGCAGTTGTTGGAGATCCTCAGTGACATGGATGGGAATCGATTACAGTGGAAGTGATGCATTCACTTTCTGACGTCTTGTAAATTTTGAACACTACAACTAACTTCGATTTTCACATTTCTTATTCCTTCATCACCTAACAGTTGATCGCAGTAATAGAGATGTATCCACAGACTACTTTCATCTTAACGGTTATATCATGTTCCATCATTTACTTTGATCTCTCTCTCTCTTCGCTCCCTGTTGTGGATTTCCATGATATTTGATTACCAGTTTTCTTATTTCCTTGTCTTCTGTCTTACTACAGTATGCTTTTATGTGATGTTAAGTATACCGAATCGAATCGTTACGCAATAATTCTAAGTACCATGTTGATATTCATCCACTGGCTATCATTGGCTTTGTAGATAAAGAGAGGAGGGTTAGGAATCAGACAGAAATAACCAACTTTTCATCAAAAGATTTATTAACTACCCTACGTACTTACTTCATTTTTTCTTTTCTCTTATGTATTATACACTAAATTTATTTCAGCCATCACTTTCATATGCTCAGAATAGCTCATTTCAAAAAGGTGGTGAAGAACTTCCGAAAATTGTTACATTTCAACTCGGTATGATTTATCAGTTATACCAACTGAATCCACTCTATTAATGAAGGATCAACTGGCCAAGGATTAGAAGGATGTTCCTACCGAAAGAATAAGAGTTTTAGGCGTTGATCTTTTGACAGGCAACCATAAACTGTAAAATCAACTTAAATGTGCAAAATTGTACTCAGGAAAAACTGACATGCTTTACAGAGTTACAACTTTATGATGTAAATAATCCCATTTCAGACGCAGGATTATCTTATTCCAGTGTGAGTCTTCATGAAAAATCATACAACTTGCACTTTTCGAATCTAAGATGAGGCTTCAGTTTCATTTTATAGCTAGCAAGCCCTTTTAGAATAGACTGCAAAGTGATTGGATATGTTTTCTACTCCATTTATCTGAAAAGTGATATCCTATTTTCTGGTAAAGTCTTGGGATAGATACAAAAGGCCTCTTAGGCAAACGCCAACCTACTGCTTCTTGGGGACAAGTAGTTTATCCGGCTGCTTATTGTAAGATATAAATGCTGCATAATGGCATATTTTATCCGTTTCAGCGGTTATGAGACATGGTTTTTGAAGGTGAATGAAGTGATAACTTTAAGTGGCTTGATACATGGTGCCACCAAAATGAAAATCGCTTCTGTTTGAACCACGAAGTAATCAGTTGTAAGGTTAGGCAGATAAATTTACGCAAGGAAGCTAAGTCAGTAAGCAGCTAAGTCTTCCATAGTTGAACTAAGCTAAACAGTTTAACGTATAAGTTTAGCCTACGTGAATAAGGCCAACGAAATATTATGAATCAATTGTTGATGATCTTGTTAACTTTCTGTCCGTTTCACATTTTTACCAACTCATTACTCTTCACAATTAAACATCCCCTTTTGTTTACGGCTTGTTCATTGTAATTTGTTTTCAATTCCATTGATTTCCTCTTTTCGTATTCCAGATTCAGATTGCTTTGTATTTAGTTCCATGTTGTTCCGCATTTTTGTATGGCGCTTTGCGAACTGGGACTAGGTCAGAATAAAGCTGAAGGTGACTACATAGTGATGTAGCACTAATCTGTAAACTCTCTGACTGTTGATATCATCCAAGTACGGAGATGCAGGCTACCTATTTGTGGTCTTAGAGATGATAAGAATCAAGGAATGGAAACTCTTAGTGATATGGTCCATACCTGGTCACAAAAGTACACGTTTATGTACTATTTTTCATCTTCGAAGTCGTGAATATTTGTATTAACTTCCATTTATTTATCCTCTCTCCTCTCATACAATTTAGTTTACTTTCATGTTACTCCTTTTTCGTCCGTAAACATAAAACAGTCGGGAGATAATCGTGGTCTGAACACCCTATTGACCGAGCTATAGGCTGCAGCGCTGAGTCATGTAGTTCGATTTCTCCAGAAGAACATGAGCTTCCTAAATGTTTCAGAGGAATCCTGCTAGTGAGTTTCATAAAACACTAAATGTAGTTGGTCCAGGGCTTCCTACCGGTGAACTTCTAACATTTGACACCATACCTAGTGCAAGAGAGTGTAATATTACTTAGCTTACTGCTGATATAACAAGCTGGATCAACAGGCAGTTACATTTGCCATCCTTCAGGGACGATTTGTTCACACTTCCTGCAATCTTAATGTTTTATTCACTAAAATTTGTTAAAACGGCTATTATTAGTAACTATTTTCATCACAGGTTGACATCATTTGGAGAATCACTGAAAAAACATTAGATTGCTTTATAGCTGATTCGTCCTGTGCTTAGTCTGTCATTGGGTAATAGGTGCACACTGCTGATGAGTTCGTGACTAGGGCAAAATAGCTGCCCACTGCTCCCTAGTTTTCAGTGGTTCTTCAGCTGAAGTAGATTTGTGATGAAAATCACATTCAAATCAATAAATCCCCACGAATCTCCATTTAAATTAATAATTATTGGTTTTTCCTATTTTAGTGTTGATCCTTATGTTGCGGAAACAGTATCAGTTGATACAAACATGACCAGTGTTATCTTCTCTGAAACGAGTCAAGTGAGTATCATTTTATTGAACAGACGTTTGATTATGGTAAAAACCAAACCGCATCAATTTTATACTATGATCATCGAGAAGAATGTTTAGTGGTTGATTTGTCTGATCACAAAAGTGCTAGCTTCGTCACACTGACGTTAGACAGATTCAGTAATTACACACACTTATATACTGCTAAAACATTATTCTACAGTCAACTTGAAGATTAAAATGTCGAAAAATGAATATCGAGAGGAAGTTATTTAACTTTTAATTGGAGTGAGTGTCATGATTTATTCAACCTGGTAATAAGCATCTGACTATTTGGGAGGCAAAAAATGATAGGGATAGGTAATACTGTCACCATCAGGATTGGAAAACATCAGTTGATCTAATCAGTCTTGTTTAAACTACTTGATAAGCAATGATTGCTGGTAGTCATTAGACCGATGAAGAAGACTATCCGATTGAAGACAATGACTACTGCGAGTTAGTGATTCACCGTAAGAACAGTGTAGGGAAATTTTAAATGAAAGCTGGAGTAGTCTTTGGAAACTCTTCAGTTGAAAACCACTCACTCTCAACTTGCATGGCATAGGATACCTACATCAATCCCGCATAATCTTATGCTATGGATTTCGCATAGCTTTCAATAATAACTAAAAATATGCTGCAGTCCGTACGATTTAAAGGAATTACAGCTGAATTTAACTGGTTGCGTAGTGTGATGTTAATTGATAAGGTTAGTCAGTCAATGAAGTTAAATAGCTGAACTGATTGAGATGGGTGGAACATGTGTTGCACAACCACAGCCACCATCTACTCCAAATTGCCACATTGGCCGGAATATCAACAAGTCAGAAGACGTTTCAGGATAAACAAACCAATAAGTGCCAACAGTTCACGAGATTGTTTGTTAATTGGTCTGAGATGTGTAGGTCACCTGTTTTGATCTCATCGGGACGTTTACAGATTAGGGATTGAAGATTGTCGATTTTTATGCTTCAAAATCTGTCCTACTAGAACACAGGAGTAATACCTCTTTGACAACGTAACGTTTGTTTCCTTGTGTAAAATTGTAGAGTGTGGCAATTCGAACTCTCACAATTTTGCACAGTTTTCTACTCTGATCTCTATTTGCCCTTCTGTTCATTAAGATCGATCTCATGAGTTGTGGTCATTCAGTCACCCCCCCCCCCCCTACTGAACATAATGCATTTCTTTGCATTGTGTTTTCCCAAGAATAATTTCCACTGTTAATTTTGCGCTGAATAAATTTCTCTCCAACGAACATGACATATGAACGTAACCTCAGACGGCTAACTTTTTCGAAATTTCCCTTAAGCTTAAGCAGCATCCGCTAAATTTGATACCTATAAGCTTCACTACCCGTCAAGTATTCTGAAATCACTAATTCAGAATTTATTAAACTGTGGGAGAAACTTTACTGGCTGTTGTGCTTCATTTGGTCAGGTGACAGATTATCAGATTGATAATTTTGATATAAAAAGATTCACTTTTCATTCCCATCACAACACAATAATCTCACAGCCAATATGCCAACCGACATCAAAATTATAGAGGAAGATAGGAAATTGGATAGTTTGGAGAAGATTGTTAAGTTTTTAGATTAGTTTAACCACGAGATAGCAACACCCGGAGGATCATTCAAAGGTAGACATCACTAAACATCTTTAAATTTCTCGTTTGAACCACAGCACAGTTGTTTACACAATTCACCCCTGCCCCCAAAATACACACTACATATGCACACAAATACTGGTTCTGTAAGTACTTTTTTAATCAGTCAGTTATTTAGAATAAAGTGTAATCTCCTTACAAACTCATTCAGTTCATTCAGGACCCCTCATCATTCCTCACAAGTTGTATGACTTTTAATTATCAACTTGCGAAATTCATCTTGGATCTATTTTCCAACGATTTGTGGTAATCATTCTAATAAATATTAAATGGAACTCAATTAAAGCAGTTTATTTTATACTACTTACAAGGTAATATGAGAAAAGAAATCTTTGATAATTACTTTACATAGGTGTAGGCGAAAACTAACTCATATCAAGACAGTTTTATAGGAGACAGAGAATATAGAAATGTAAAAACATTCCGTAAACTTATCATATTTCTAAATTAAGCACATCACAATGAACAAATATAAACGAATGAACAAACATATCGAATTAGGAAAACCTACCTAGTTGTTGTTTTTGTCCTAGTTTTACTTACCCTAGTCTTATTTCATAGTGAACACAATGTGTGCACTTTTTATAGTCATGTACAAATGTAATGACTCTTTAGAATCTTCAACGCCAGGTAAATGCAACAATCAGCGAAATTTGATATATACACAATTACAATTGTCGACACAAATTACATCTATTTAAATTTTACTTGTTTGGGGAGCAAGTTAATCTTACTACAATTTTCTTTTGCATTTATATTGTTGTTGATGAACAAAGACTTCAAGCGATTCAGTGTTAGGAGTCAATTGGTAGGAAGTCATACTCCACTCGGGTTTCATACTTTCTGGCACCCATAGGTTAAACGTATTTGTAAACCTTGTGATATCTATGCTGTCTAACAAATACAAACTTGCATCACTTAATGGATTCAAGGACTTCAGTAGTGAACTGTTTTCAGGTGACACTGACTTCCTGTAGGACTGCATAATGTACACGAATCGACCATCACATTGTAACCAATGTAACTCTCCTACATATAGTCAGTCATTATCCTATATGCTTAAAGTATCTGACTTCAGCACTTCACGACGATCAATGCATTACCAAATGGGTGAATGGAACATTAATTTCGTCAAGGTTAAATATATGCCTTGCTAATAGGCGATAGTAAGAACGTAACGTAGGTCTAAAAGGCTCCCTGCCAATCGAATGCTAGCATCTGACACCAAACGTAATGCACTGTAGTATCATGTCATTTAGATTAATGACTATATTCCAATAAAACTTGTTTTATTATAAAAGGCAAGAAGTTCAACGAGGATGCCTCTTCTGGCAATTTCATTCTGCATAGCTATATAAAGATAAATTTCTGTGTCTCCATCCACAACACATTACATTACTATTATTACTATTATTTGTCCTTTGGGTTTCTAGTAGAACATAGGGCTTCAGTAGCACATCGCCATTTCACTCTGTTCTCTACAGTCTTTTCAACCTGGCTCCACGACTGCCCACAAGCTTTCATTTCTTCCTCACATGATCTCCTCCATATCAAAGTTACAGATATTTTTTTCATTTTAACATATTGATAAGCGTATAAACCAGATGTTAGGTAGTTGGAACCAATTTACAGGAAACCCTCCTCACCCTAGGTTTCATAGTTCCTGACACTCATCAACAAGATACATCTTCAGCCTCCAGAGAATTAATGTCTCCCCCAGTGTTTCGGACAGAAACGTTACTGCTGAGCTACTGGAGCTATGATTGACCTTCTGTAAGACCGGATCAGATACACTGATTAGTCACATTTATCAAAGCGTTCGATGATGCTTATCCTCTTAGACTGGTGACCACATTGCAAAATGACCGATAGGATTGGGTCAGCACTCAAGACCATTCGAAATGCAATTGGATGCGCTCCAGAGATAAATCACGGTGCATAAACTAAATGAGAGTTAAGAGTCTTAAACGTGATGTAGAAAATGAAATTTCACAAAAACTTAGAACTGATCATAAGAAAACATGGAAACTGGGATGGTTAATACGCTCCATTGTGAAGTTCCACAATACGTGCGGACAATTTTCTAAAATCAAGAGTGTTCAAGGAAAGAATAGAAACAACATGGCGAGAGTATTAGCTTGCCAATAATTGAACAAAACCAAAATTTTAAAGACAAAGTCAGAACTACCTGTTTCTTAAAACTCATGATTATGACCATACTAAATACAAGGGTTGCAGAAGTTTCATTTGCTTGCATAATTACGGCTTCATTTCGCATGCAAAGAAGCTTGAAAAGCGACCAGTGTTCGTGAAGTATTCGACAATTGCACTTCTTGAAGACTGACTGACGTCTCTTTGCAAAGATGTGGGACAGTATTTCCAACTGTGTTCGGGAAGAACGAGTATTGCTTCACAGAAACAGGTGAAGTGACATACACTTATTGAAGCAGTCAAATGAAGGAGCTTCCCCTTCGGGGTGTTTGAAAAGATTGAGAGACTAGAGAATATGAATCTCAAAGTTGATGCAAAGAAATTTTTTTTAATAGCTGAAAATCCTCCTTGTCAGGATATCAGTGAGGTTATCTCCAAAATCTATCTCCTCTGATCTGGTTTTAGTCTCTGTATGTCTGTCTACCTATCTATCTATCTATCTGTCCCTGATTATTTGTTTTTATCTTAATTCTTTTTGAGAAGCCTAAGCTCTTCTCAGAAGCAATTGGAGCTGCAGCAGTTAAGAGACTCTATTAGGATTCTCTTTCAGCTTACAAGTACCCAGCTATTCACCTTTGTCAGTTGGTCATTTCATATGGGGTTTCTGTCGATTTATCTTTTCAATATAGGCTATTTATTCTTATCAGATCCACATTTAAAAAACGGTATTTCTGATTCACTTTCGATTTTATTTTTGAATTTAATTGAAGGGTAATACCTGTTGAATGCTCGTAAGATATGATTCAAATCACAATTATCATGACAGATCATGAAAGTGTCATCAAAATTTTTCATGCACACAAAAAATCCATTAATTGTTGACTTAATACTGTTGTTTTTTACAATAGACAGTAGTTAGCCTAGAGAACCAACAGCTTTTACATCTTTCTGCCTTTAGGTCGCATTGTTGAAGGTAAACTGGGCGTTAACATGCATTTTAGCAGCAGTTCTTTCAGATTTGTGATAGATTTTCCTATGAGCAGGCTATTTTCATTTGATATATCTTCACAATTAACAGTCTGTGTGAAGAGAATGCATCTGAAAATACATTCAGTACTTGATAGGAGTGTGAACAACAAACTGCATCCCAAATGTTATCCAGTAACTAA